ATTGCATCCAAGCAGACCAGGGCAACGGAGACGCCCAGGGTCCACCAGCTCCTAAGGAAACACCTGGGGACCCGTGGAGAGTGAGGGCTCTGGAAGCTCCTGCCTTTTTATTTTCCTGCAAGGAAATCCATTCTGGCCGTTGGCCCGTGTACGGAGCTGTTGGGCTGGGTGCTGCCTGGGCCTCCTACCCACCTCCCCCAGAGAAGGCCGTCTCCCGGATCACTCAGCCTGCGCTTTCATGCCTGGGGAGTGTAAAGCTTGTCCAGCTGGTCACACTGCACACTGCTGGGACCCAGGGTGCTCTCCCGGGCCCACTCTGAATGGGGCACAGGCCGGAAGCCCCCAGACCCCTGACTAAGAGGGTTGGGGTGAAGATGCTCAGAGACAGGGAGGCCAGTGCCCATGACTTCTGAGTAAAGACTGGCCAGGCCCAGTCTGAGGGAGTGGGCCCAAGGAATGGCACAGCTTCAGACAGACTTCCCACACCTGGAGGCCGGGGCCCCGTGCCACAGTTCAGACGAGTGGCGTTGAGGGGAAGAGTGTGAGAAGGGAATCTGGGATCTCGCCCAGGTGTGTGCTGGCCTCCCGCTGAGAAGGTCCTGGGGAGGTGGGGGGCCCCAGAGGAGAGGAGGGGAAGGGTCAGCAGGGAGCTGGAGGGGAGGGGTGTGGGGCAGTGCTGGGGTGTGGGGCAGGGCGTAAGGGGACATGCCTGCAGCTCCAAACCCGCCCAGCCGCACGACTGAGTCTCTGTCCCCCACAGCTGGTGTACCCCAGCGACTCCCGGCTCACGGACAAGGAGGTGGGTCCTGCCCTTTGGGAACGGACATCGCCTGGGGAGCAGGCCCTCACCCGGTTTCCTGTGTTTCAGAAAAGTAGCATCTGCTACTTGTCCTTTCCCGACTCCCACTCAGGTAGGCAATCCCAACCCTCCCACCTGGAGGTGGGCTCTGGGGCCGGGGGAGAGGAGGCCAGGCCTGCACAGTGAGCACCTGCCCTACCGTCAGCTTTGTAGAGACTCCCAGATCCCCAGCTGCAGCAGGGCGGCCAGGCTCCCCTGGGTCCTATGGGGAGACATATCTCTGGAAGAGGGACCAGCAGGCTGTGGTCGCCTTCACCAGAGGGGCCACCAGGAGCTGGGGCCCAGCTGCTGCTCCTTACCGGGCTCAGGTGCCCTGGCAGCCTGGCTTCCATCCCAGGCAGACTAAGCCGGCCCACGCTGAGATCTCGGGCCCCCCGCCGGCGCTTGTGCACACTGCAGGTGCCATTCCACGCACTGAATGTGAACCCTCAGGTGCAGGAATCAGGATGCAGGGACCCCGGTTGGCAGATGCAGACCCAGAGGGCTGGGCTTTCTCTCTGAGGCGTTTACAGCCCAGCAGAGGCCAACCCCTCCACCCCTGGTCCCCTGCCCCCGCACACTGGCAGGAGAGGGTCCAACCTGACACAGCTTAAGGGGACCACCTCCCTCCCCAGGCTGCCTCGGGGACACTCAGTTCAGCTTCCGCATTCGTCAGTGTGGAGGGCAGCGGCACCTCTGGCACGCAGATGACAGGCACGGTGACAGCGGGGTCCCCGTGTCTCTGCAGGTGGGCCAGGGCTGCCTCTCCTCGTGGGCCAGGGTCAGGCGGGTACGAGTAGCCCCTTCAAGGCGTCTGGCTGTGTGGCGGGAGAGGGTCTCCAACTGCTGAAAGCTGGGCCCAGCAGCCTGGCCTTGATTTGGAGGGGGGCAGCCCTTCTGAGGACTTGCCAGGGTCCCTGGAGCTTTTCCAGTGCACCAGGTGTGCACCAGGGTATGGCTTGGTGTGTGGAGGCCAGCAGAAGTCTCCAGATGTGCCCAGCCCCCAGACTGCTCACCACTGTGTCCGTGGAGACGTCCCTCAAAGAGGAGTTGCCCGCCTTCTGGGCCACGACTCCCAGGCCTGACCCCATGGCTGGGTCCAGGCGGGCAGGAGGAAGCCTGGGCAGTGGGTAGGGCCTGGCCGACACCACTCCTTCCAGAGGGAGGCTGCACACTACTTTGGCTACGTGTACTTCAGACAAGTGAAGGACAGCTCCGTGAAGAGGGGCTACTTCCAGAAGGTGAGCCCCTGGCCATTCTGAGGTGGTGCTGCAGGGAGGCGGGGGCCAGCAGCCACAGGGAGGGACTGCCACTGAGCTGCCAGGGCAGTAGGCCCTGCTGCCCCATCCTCGCCCAGAACAGCACCCACAGCTCTGTGTCTGGGCCCAGGACATCCCTGTCCCTTGCTGCTGGTGGGAGGGCGGCCCTCATCACCCTTTCAAGATTAGGACAACTTCAGTCTTGAACTCAAACACCAAAAGACACTCTTGTTTGACCCGTGGGAGATCATCCCAGAAATCTTGGCCACGTGCATTCCCCTCTGAAGGCTGGGGTCCTGCCCCGCCCTGCTGTCATTGGGGTTTTCTAATAACCCCAGAGTCCCAAATTCCTGGGGACAGCTGTGCTATGGAGTAGGTAGGACGTCCTGCCCTGGGCGGACTCTGGATGAGCCAGGTCTCAGAGGTCCCTGCAGGGTCCTGAGTGGCCGAGGTGACGTCTCACCGGCCTTTGGGCCCTGCAGTCTCTGGTGCTGGTGTCCCGCCTGCCCTTTGTCCGGCTCTTCCAGGCACTGCTGAGCCTGATTGCCCCTGAGTACTTCGACAAGCTGGTGCCCTGTCTGGAAGCGGGTGAGTGGCTGTCAGGTGCGACCGGAGCGGTCCCGTCAACCTGGCTGTAGCCTCAGCAGCTTTGGCTGGCAGCGTCCTCTCAGGGGCAGGCCCCTGACCCTGGCCACCTGTGTTCACAGTGTGCAGTGAGATTGACCAGTGGCCAGCCCCCATGCCTGGGCAGACCCTGAACCTGCCTGTCATGGGAGTCGTCCTCCAGGTAAGGGCTGGCTGGCAGGGGTGGGAAGGCCCAGGTGCATGTAGATACCCACTCCCACTGGCAGCTGCTTCCTTGGTCCCCAGGTGCACATCCCATCCAGGGCAGACAAGCCAGAATCCAGTCCTCCAAAGCAGTGCGGCCATGAGGTGGGAGCCCCCGCTCCTGGGCCAGTGGCACTACACCTGCCTCAATTCTCCACTCACTTGGGCCTCCCCATCCCACCAGCTGAGGGCCTGAGGTTGGCCTGTGTCCCAGTGTAGGGCTGGGAGCTCACCACCATCTCTTGCCCTGGCCCACCGGCAGAGACACGGGGGCCCTGCTGTCACTGTGGGGCTGGGAGGCATGTGGACAGGGGCTGCCCTGGGGTGAGAGGTGCTGCTTGAGGCCTGTGGATCACCAGCCTCGCCCTCAGCCTGACCCCAGCCCCCTCTTCTCAGAACCTGCTCCCAGCCCCCGTGGTCCTCAGCAGTGTCCACGAACTGGACCTGTTCAGGTGAGCCCTGCCAGCCACTGCCTGCTGCCCCAGTAGATGACTGACCAGACAGCCCGCAAGGCTCAGGCCTGTGGGGTGGGGGCGGAGCTGTGGGGGGCTCGGCCCAGCAGGAGTCAGCTCCTGGCCAGTTCTGTGGGGGAGAATCACGCAGAAGAGCCCGGGGTCCCAGGGTCTGCACCCAGAGGCAGTGGGCACTCTGGGCTGGAAGTGAGGTCCTGGCAGGTGGGTGCCGGAGGGGAGTGGCATGTTGGGAGACTTACTGCCTGATGCTGCCCACTCTGGGAGAGTCTCCAGGAGCTCTGCCTTTGGAGACCGTTCTGTTCTGCGCTGGGCCCGGCGGGAGCCAGGGCTGCCAGCCTCAGACATGTGGGGCACAGGGCCAGGCGACACAGGTGGGCCAGCTGAGTGTGGGGCAGTATCTTCAGACATCCTTTCCCATCCCCGTCTTTATTCTGGTGTGGTGCCTGGTGTTCACCCGAGCTGGGCCTGCCTGTGCCCATGGTGGGGGGTGGTCATGGGCTGGGGGGCCTCCAGCCTTGCGCGGCCCCCGACACCCTTGCCTGGCCCAGGTGCTTCCAGCCCGTGCTGGCCCACGTGCAGATGCTGTGGGAGCTCATGCTCCTCGGGGAGCCACTGGTGGTCCTGGCACCCTCACCTGCCGTGTCCTCGGAGATGGTGCTGGCCTTGACCAGGTGGGCCAGGCAGCAGTGGGAGGGGAGTAGGGGCTCTGGACCAGCCCTGCCATGCTCACTGCCCCGCTGTGCCCCCGCCCCACAGCTGCCTGCAGCCCCTCAAGTTCTGCTGCGACTACCGCCCTTACTTCACCGTCCACGACAGTGAGTTCAAGGAGTTCACGACGCGCACGCAGGCCCCGTAAGCCTCCTGCACAGCCCTCTCTGCCTGCCCTCCTGCCTCTGCCTCCCCTCCCCCTCCTCCTCCTCCTCCTCCTCCTCCTCTCTCTCTCTCTCTCTAGACCAAACGTGGTCCTGGGGGTCACAAACCCTTTCTTTATCAAAACACTCCAGCATTGGCCCCACATCCTCCGCATCGGGGAGCCCAGGATGTCAGGTGAGTGTGGCCTCTGCCCTGGGGTCTGTGAGGGGTCTGAGCCTGAGGCAGAACTGCGGCCCTGAGGCCCACCTCGGGCTTGTTTCCTAGGGGACCTTCCTAAGCAGGTCAAGCTGAAAAAGCCCTCAAGGCTGAAGACCCTGGACACCAAGCCAGGTCTGAGCCCCTCTCCCCCGGGACCCGGGCAGGCACTGGGGTGAGGTGGGTGTGGGCAATGCGCCAGCACCCCGAAGGGAGTGCCCCCCTCCCCAGGAGAGCACACTGCTACCCTGCCCTCCCCAGGCCTCTACACGGCATACACGGCCCACCTCCACCGAGACAAGGCTCTGCTCAGACGGCTGCTGAAGGTGCAGGTTGGGGGCGGGAGGGCGGGGGTGAGGGGGGCCCAGGCTGTGGCTGCTCCGGGCTCAGCTGCCCCCCCCACACCTCCCCCCCCAGGGCCTGCAGAGGGAGCGGCCTTCAGACCTGCTGAGCGCCCTGCTGAGGAGGCACCTCCTGGAGCTGACACAGAGCTTCATCATCCCTCTGGTGAGGCCTGGGGAGGAGGGCCACGGTAGGGGGGGGCTGAGGCCCAGGCTTACCCTCCTCCCCCCGCAGGAGCACTACATGGCCAGCCTCATGCCCCTGCAGAAGAGCATCACGCCCTGGAAGGTGTGGTCCGGGGTGGGGCTGGGGGGAGTGAGGGAGGTCATGGGTGGGTGGGAGCCCCCCCCAGGGCCAGGCTGTCCTCACACCTGCCAGGTGTCCCTCACAGGACAGAGAAATGGGGCCACATGGAGGGGCTCAAGGTCCTCCTCTCTGGGAAGGGCCACCCTAGGATCTGTCCCAGGAGGGTGAGTGGCCTAGGAGTGAGTCTGGGAAGTGCCCTGGGGGAAAGTCCTGAGCAGCCAAGTTCCCCCCAGGCACCTGGGCTCACCTGGCCCTTGTCTCAGACCCCTCCCCAGATCCGCCCCTTCCGCCAGGATGACTTCCTGCGTAGCCTGGAGCACTCAGGGCCCCAGCTCACCTGCATGCTTAAGGGCGACTGGCTGGGCCTCTACAGGTGGGTGGACAGCAGGCAGGGTCCTGGGGCTCCTGCTGCTGGTGGCTGTGCCTACCCCTTGGTGTACAAGATCAGCCCCATAGCTGCTGCCCCTTGCCCCCCACAGGCGGTTTTTCAAGTCCCCCCATTTTGATGGCTGGTACCGGCAGCGGCACAAAGAGATGGCCCAGAAGCTGGAGGCCTTGCACCTCGAGGCCATTTGTGAGGCGGTAAGGGGGGCTGGGGGGGGTCACAGGCCCAGGGCTGGGGGAGGGCCTGGGTGATATAGATGCCCCACCTTATTCCCAGCAGAACATTGAGATCTGGATGAAGGACAAGTCCGAGGTGGAGGTCGTGGACCTGGTTTTGAAACTTCGGGAGAGGCTGGTGAGATGCCTTCCAGCCCTGCCCAACCTTGGCCAGCCGCACTTGGAGGTCGCCTGCCCCTGACCACTGCTGCCCCTGCAGGTTCGGGCACAGGGTCACCAGCTTCCCGTGAAGGAGGCAACAATGAAGCGGGCACGGCTGTACATCGAGACGGTCGTCCGCTCTCTGCCCATGGACCTGCAGGTGGTCCTGTGCTCTCCCTAGTTCGGCCCGAGGGGCATGGCCCAGGGACGTGGCCACCGGCACCTCCTTCTCCCCAGTCAAGCACAAGTGCCCCCACCCAAATTCCTGCTGCTCCAGGCTTTGGCTTCCTGCCTGGCACCACCATTGTCCCAGCCGCAAAGGTGACATTTGGAACCACAGCCTGGCCCCTGGCTGTCAGCAGATCACGTGCTGGCCAGAGCCTCACCTCCCCCTGGGCCCCACCTGCCCTCTACAGGGTCTTAGGCTGGGGGTGGGGCCAGCTGTGAGCCTTGGCTGATCTGATCTGGGCCCACGGCCACCTACCCCCTCCAGGTGCCCATCTGCCCAAGCCCAGGCCTTGTATCTGGTGGGTCCTTTGGCCCCACCAGGCTGCCCAGCCCAGGACAGGAGGAGGCAGCTGACAGGCAGACCTCTCCTCACACAGCCCACCTACTTGTCTTGCCTGAGGCTGGAGGAGTCCTTCCTACAGCCTGGGAGGGGCAGGGCTCTGCCCTGTGGTTTGTTGGGATGCCGCCAGGGCCCTGGTGGCTGCTGGGAGGGTCCAGAGCCTTGTCCTCGTTCTATCCTGGAACCCCGCTCCCAGCACCAGCCCTGTCTGCTCTGTCCCACAGTGCTTGGCTGACAGGTGCCCCCCACGTGCAGTCAGATGGGTTTCAGATTAGCCCGACCAGGCCCCTCAGCTGGAGCCCTCAACAGCCACCGCAGCTTGGAATCACCGCGCTCCTTGGCCATTAGGGAAAGGCCCGGAGAGGTGACCCATTCCCCCATGTGACACCTTGGAGCACTGGGCCCAGCAGTGGTTGGTGCTGTCACAGCTCAGCACAGGGTGACGGCAGCACTGTTAGCCATCACGGGAGAGGTGTTGAGGCGAGGACCCAGAGTTGCAGGTCTTTGGGTAAGTCCAACCTTACCCAACCCCCAGACACCTCAT